CGGGACCCCCGCCGCTGCTGACCGCGCGTGCCGCCGCAACGCCGGCAGCTACTGAGGGTTGGGCTCGATGACCCACAGAGGTCCCTTCCAACCCCCACCATTCTGTGATTCTGTGATTCCGCTTTGGTTTGTAAGCTGGTGAAGTAGGTTCTGCAAGCAAGTACGTTTTAGCAGAGCCACAACATTTCCAGGTACCTTTTGCTCACCAGGGGCTCATTGCTGTTCAGTTTTATTATTGCTACTACTGAAACAGGATAGAAATTTATTTTATTTGCACAAGTAGCGTCCCAACATGAGGTCCCTCTCAAGCGTGCGCTCCGTATTGCAGCCATTAGTACAAACGTGCTCTTCTGGCGGTGACGGAAACTTCTCACCTACGCAAAGCACAAGGTCTCAGCTCTGAGTACCAAAAGAGAAAAGACTAAAAAAATTCCCCGATCCTACAAAAATACTTCAACAAATAGCAGCTGCCTTCTGGAACCCCGGCGCCTGAGGCAGCCCCGGGGGGCAAAAAAAAGCAGGCGGCCCCCACACAGCACGTCCTCCGCGGGTAAATCCATCCCGCGCCGAGAAGGAGCGAGCGATGCAGCATCAGCGAGGCACTCGGGGACTTATATCCTGCCCACGCACTCCTACACTTCACCTTCATGGTCTGAGTATCTCACCGGACTCGGGTCCCAACCCTCCACGCACGGGTGAGTGCGACAGCCCTGCCTCCTCTCGCGCCCCAGGGACTGCGTCCACCCGGGGAGAGCAGGCAGCCCACAGCGGATCTACCCCGAGACCGCTAACGACGGCGCCTTCACCCCGTTAAACGACGAGTCCATCAAGCCCGTACCGCTCTCCCACGGCGACCGACAGCAGACACCGAGAAACCACCCAAGTACAGACAAACACATCAACACAGCGTCCAACACGCCGTGCCACCAGCTCCACCTGCATTTCCCGAAGCGCCTGAGGCAAGGAGCTCTGCAGCGGCACAGGGCGCAGCGGCAACCCCTCCTCTCCCCGGCAAGCGATCCAGCATGAAGGAGCCGAGGGCGATCCTCCTGCCGTCGCGCATCGGTCGCACCTCTCCCAGCCCCGCTGCCCCAGGCTGAACCCCGCGAGCCCCCC